CCCAGAATAAGAGATGCCGCCAGGCCCGGGAGTGGAGTCCCGAGCAGCTTTCGCAATTGTCACGAATTCGCCAAACTCGATGTTCCAGAAGATTCCGCTGGGGACTTTCTGCGCATGTTCCTGGAGAAATGGTCGAAAGAGCTTTGATCCATGGCTTCCGAAGCGTGCGGCACTCCCCCCCGATGCCTAGCCAATTCCCGTGCGAAATCGGCAGAATCGGTGAGTTGATTGCCCCACGTGGGCCCACCGCGGCCTGCAGACCCACCTTCCGCAAAGTGCGCCCCCTCCCGGAAATATAAACCGAATAGCTTCTCGATTGCCGCAGACTTCTCTTTCTTGGACGCGTGGGGGCGCCCTGGATCTCATGAGTCTGCTGGTAAAGCTCAGGAGGGAAAAATACACACAGACACAATTAATCGTCGACTCCCCAGAAAATATAAGAAAACATGGGAAGTGGGGGGGAAGACAAAAACCCTGAAAATATGTGAAAATATGGGGAATCTTTTAATTGGTGTGTATTTATTTTTGTGTCCCTGGGCCCCTTCAAAAGCATGTCACTCGTCAACAGCCTCTGGTGAGTGTCAAACCTGGCGCGAGCGGCCCAGGTCCCCGAGTGAGCACCTCTGGAATCTGCTAGCTTGGCTTCTGCTCGACAGGCACGCTGCGCGACCGACGGGCGACCGGAGCGAACGCCGCGTAGAGCGGCCAGGCACCGCGAGATGCATTCGGGATTGGCGCGCGCTCCCCGACGTGCGAGAGCGCGCGTGGCCTGGCGGGCAGCGACGCGAACGATGTCGGTGGCCTCCCGAGCGGCCTCGGCCGGATCCCCCGAGAGCGCGCCGAAGTCCTCGATCGAGGGTCCTCTGGGCGACGTCGGGGCGAGCGCTGCGGCGAGTAACCCACGCGGGCGCGCGAGAGCCCGACGGCCCACGTCGATGCTGAGGCGAAACCGCAACTGGAGCGTGGCCAGATAGAGCGTCCAGATCCAAAACGACGGGTCGCACTGGAGGCATTCGAATCGATGGTCAGCGGAGGCCCGAGGGGGGCGTATGCGATCCAAGCGCGCAACCGACGTGAAAACCCGAGGTCTGTGTCATCTTGAATATGATGCGTGGCTCTAGGGGCGTGATGTTGTTGCTCCATCTCGGCGAACTGTGCAAAGACGTGGTTGAAGTGTGCCCGCATAGCATGCGAATGCCTATTCGAATCTTCGCATGGTTGGCTACCCTCTCCATCCGCGCAGAACTTGAAGCGACCGCGCATGGCGCATGCGCGCGTTTGCGGGGGGGGGGCGGGGAGGGGCGGCGCGGATAATGCTGGGGATGCGCTTCTGCTCGGTAACGCTCAGCTCTGGGCTGGCGCGCGCATGGACGATGCGCGCGGCGCGCGCAGTCGCGCGCGACTGTGGCGTCGGCGCGCCTGCGATATGGTGCGATGGGGCGAATGCGGGGAGGCTGCTGCCGCGGACAAGGGTGTGTGAGAATGAAAACGCCACCAATGGTTGCAATGTCGGAGAAGGGCCCGACCCGCAATTTTCGGCGAGCCCCCCTGCGAGGAGAGTGTAGATCAGCATCACATACGCAGGCTTCTCGTGTGCACGCCATCGCATGCTTTTTGAATAGAGTTTACTACGGGTTGTCGTTTGCGCCGATGTGCGCGCGCGGCTGCGACAGATCCGAACGGAGATTGACAGTTCCACGAGACGTGGAAGAACGCAGAGTGACCCGAGAGATCAGGCGGGCCCTTTTCAGAGTCGCCGCTGCGGATCGAGCCGCTGCCCGGCGACGCAGAGCTACAGGTCTAGGAAGAGGAAGACGAGTCAGGCAGAGGATTCCCAGGGCGAGTTGCGTCGCGAAGCAGACGCACTGGCGAGGACAGAATCGAGGGAGTGCCTCCAACGCCCGTCGCTGCATCCATCCTGTCAGTGACGTCAAAGCCGCTGTGGATGCCGTCCATGGCGATGGCTCCCGCGCGCCCCTCGTTCATGTCACCGCGGTTGGTCCCCATGAACGTCTGCAACAACAGATCAACCTCCTAGTCGCGGAAGGCCTGTCGGGCAACCTCGACTACGGAATTGGCGCCCAGGACCTCCATCTTAATGGTTGCGAGGTGTCCCCGTTGCACGCGGGGCTGGGCTGCCCGAGGCGGTCGATCTCGACGTTGAAACGCGCGTGGATCTCATCGCGGACTCCGGCGCGCAAGACTCCGCGGTGCCCTGTCGTCGCCGAGCCGCACGATGTCTTGCCCCCCGATTCTGATCTCCTGCACGTGATCCAGGACGGCCTGCCGACACTTCTCGTGGAAGGGATCGCTGCGCCGAAGCCAACCTTGGCGCCACCGCGGCGAACTCTCGGCGCTCCTGTTGTCTGAGGGTTGCCGCCTGCCGGTGGCTCGCGCCGGGAGAGGCCACGGCCTCTGGCCAGGGTGGCGGACTGCTTGGCGTCGTCGAAGGCCATGGAGTAGCAGCGGCTCAGGCTGGGGGCCTTGCGTGTCTTCGGCGGTGGACAGACCTCCCTTTAGTGAACCTCCCCTTAGTGAAAACGGCCTGGGACCGAAACCGACGGACCTGGACCCGCGAAAATGACGGCCGCGAGGCCCTCTCGCGAACCGAAAACGGCCAGTTCCTTAATCGACGTGTCAGGGTAGGAGGTCTATCCACCTCCGATGTCTCAGGCTTCTTGCTATGAGCCGGCAAGTTCGAGGCGGTCGCCTTCGGTCGCGCGACCGGGACTCTCGCTGCTATGGGCTTCGGGAAGCCGCTGACCCGGACACGCGCGGTTCAACGGGCCGTTCGGGTCGTCCGAGGCAGCGGGGGCCCGACGAGCGAAAGGGTTTAAAAGCGGTCGACCCAGCCGGCAGGGAAGGTGTCGTGGCACCAGTCGTAGAAGCCAACTGTTGCTCCAAGGCGGCTACCCTCTGGCCGCATATCGCGTCCTGCGCCTCCATCCGCTCGTTGAGTCTGTTTCTCAACTCCGTGCGGTCGGTGGGCTGAATGGCGCCGTCGGTGCTGCCGTTGACCCCAACCTCCAGCGCGTCGAGCTGCACCTGGAGCGCGGCGCTCTGAGCCTGGGCGACGGAGAGGGTCTACGTCGAGCGTGACCTGCATGGTGCCGACCTGCATATGTAGGGGGCCCTGGCTCTCCTGGGTGACTTCGGTGAGCATGGCGCGCATGTCGGAAAGGCCGAAGGGAGCAGCAGCTGGCGCGGCACCGCCATGAGGGACGCGAGGCGGATCATCAAGATCCCCAACACGGTGGGCAGCATCGCCCCGTAAATTTCGTTCAATGGCAGGTGGCACCTCCACGTCAGGAGCGCCAGCAGGCTCGCGGCCCGGCCGGAACACTTGAGGCACTCATCCAGATACAGCGTGGGGTTGGCCGAGGTGTCCGTTCCGATCACTTCGCACAGGCACAGGCGAGTCAGGGCTGGACATGGTGTCCGAGGTCGGGGCTCATCCAGCGCAACTGCAACGTCGGCCTCGTGTCGACAAGGTCGTCCTACGTCGGCACACCGTAGGTGTCCACCAACGCCATGGCAGCAGCAGTCTCTTCCTCAGCGGTCTGTGAGGGAACCGCCGCAGCCCCCGCCCCGGCGCTCTTCACGAAACACTTCCTATCGGCCTCCTCCTTGGCCGGGCTCGCCGCGCGCTTGACGGAGCTGGCCCCAGGCGTGGCAGGCGCGGCACCAGTAGATGCAGCAGCACCAGCCGATGAAGAGGCCGTGGCCGAGGCAGCTGCAGCGCCACAAGGGTCGCAGGAGGCCAGCGGGCCCTCGCCGACAGCTGGCTTGCCTTTCTTTCCAGCTTTGCTGGTCTGAACTGTCCCCTGCACGCCAGCGGACGCGGCCGTGCTTGGATCCATGGCGTCGGCAGCGGTTCCTGAGAAACGGATGTCGACAGGAGGTGTACGAATTGTGAAGTGCTGCTCCGCCAGGAGCTCACCACAGCAGGACCTGCCAACACCTGTGTCGTGGGCCGTGTGGACAGGCCCTTGAAATGGTCTGTTCGCCACCTCGAAAACTGCATTACTTGAGCCAAAATGGCTACGGAGAGGGAGGCGGAGGAGGAGGAGGATAAGCAGGATTGGTGAGGGAGGTGGGGAGTAAATGCTGAAAAGAGAATGGGATGGACGAGGGTAGACTGAAAAAACATGGTGGGGAGGGAACGACGCAGGCCACATAGTCTTACATGCCACCCTCGAGCGGGGGGGGAAGGAGGAGGGAGGAGGAAGGAGGAGGGGCGGGAGGACCCGAGCGATGATGAGGAGGGGGGGAGAATGAAAAGGAAGAGAAGGAGGAGGAGGAGGAGGAGGAGGAGGAGGAGGAGGAGGAGGAGGAGGAACGCCAGTACCATCTGGAGAGGAGGAGGAGGAGGAGGAGGAGGAGGAGAGAAGTAGGAGGAGGAGGAGGAGGAAGCGGAGGAAGCGGAGGGGAGGGAGGGGGAGGAGGACGCAGGAGGGGGACGATAACGCAGGAGGGGGAGAGGGCGGAGGGGGGAAGCAGGAGAGGGACGAGGGGGGGAAGGCAGGAAGGAGGAGGAATATCGACCTGAGGACTCCATGCGCAGGACGCCCAATAACCCCCTCCCTACACTAAGAGTCCCCCCCCCCCCCTCCTGCTCCTCATCCTTCTCCCTCCATCTGTCTCCGTCATCCGTTCCTTCTCCCTTACTCCAAGTTCTGTCTTCACACTGGCATTCTTGCTCACGGCTCACGTGCACCGTGAAATGTGTTATCATAGCGCCGATGGCTTTTCGCGACCCTCCTAGGCCTGTACCGACCAACCTTCAGGTTCTTGCCTGCACCAAACGACAACAGGGCCTGTGGACGACGAGAAGGGAAGAAGGGAGAGACATGGATTCACAACATGTGCCCTTCTCATCATCCTCCTGCTCCTCCTGCTCCTCCTCCCTCCTCCATCCCTTCCCCTAGGTTGGGAGGGAGGGCGCTGCATCCTCCATGTCAGATCGTGCAGCGCCCCTAGGCCCAGACTCCGCCCCCCGCCTTTGCGGATGATCAAATGGCGCTCGCCCTGCACGTGGTGGTGATTGTGCAGCTCGCC